TTTTGTTTTTCATGTGCGAGGTTTTCATATTACTCCTGGTTTCCCTCTCTTTTTTGGAGTTACAATTTTTGCAGGTTTTATTTGGTTTTGTTTCGTTTCGTTCATTCCCTAGTTTTGTATCCATAGTGTCTCTTCGTAAGTATTGCGTTTGTATTTCGCGCCTGTTTTCAATCCCAGGGGCGTGTGTTCCTATGTGTGATTGGTCATATGGTTGTGGACGAGGTGGGAGTCGTCGGCTCTACAGGTGGTGTAGTTCTGTGTACAGGTTGTCAATATCTTTCCAATTTTTGTTGGGTCATTCTATTAGGGTGATGATTTTCCATGATAAAAGTGCGTGTCATTATCAATTGTTCTGTATGTGTAAGGGTGAAAGAGCATTTGAAAGAAGAATTGGAGGTAGATCGTTTTTAGGTTATCTGTAGAGGGGTTTGTTCTCTTTCTTTTTTTGAGGAAGTTTAATTGTTTGTCACTTTAATTTTACAGGTGTGCAGCGTGTGATCGTTTCGTGGTCTATGTTTTCATGACTCTATGCCTGTCAGGATTTCGGCTCGTACTAGTCTAGGATTGCTTCAAATTCTTGGAGAACATCTAGAGGTTCTAATGTTTTTAAAAGAGAGAAGACGTATCAGTACCCTCGAGTGAGTTGGTAGTATAGCCTTTAGTATTTTAATTCTTTCTCGTTGTGGTTTTTAAATTCTTGTAAAAGTTTGTACAGGGGTTATGTTGTCAGGAAGGGACGAGTGTCTGTATTTGTATCTGTTATCAAGACAGTAATTTTCGCTTATGGTTTCTACAATTGATTCAATATCNATTTATTGTTATTATTGTTTGTTTACAGGAGTGTTGTGTAAGGAATTCAGTGCTAGGATGAAGAGGTGATGAATCTGAGACCGTTTTTATTCCTATACTTGTATGTGTAGTGGACCCGGTGTTGTTGCGAGATGATAATAATAAGTTGTATGTATTCTAACTTCGTTTTCCTTTGTTCTATTTTATAACTTCTGGGTTGATTTTTAGGTTCCCGGGGCATGTACAGTCGAAACCCAGAATCACTTTGGAGAGAAGTTTTGTATGCCAACGTTGTAGATATGTTTAATCATTTCTTGCTGCTTTGATTTCCACGTTTTCTGGAGCTGATCCTCAGTCCTCGCAAGTTTTGAAATCAATGCGTGTAAGTCGGCGGTATACGTGTTGTTTTACCTCTTCTTTTTTCTATTGGTTTTCAGTGTTGAAGAGAGCGAGTAATGATGGCTCTGTGCCTGTTTTGGTGTTTGATATATACAGGTTTTCAGAACCTTTGTTCAGTTCTTGAGTTTATTTCGATTTTTTTTTTTTTTTTTAAATGTTATGCAGCGGATTCATTGTTATCTTTTTTCTGCTTTTATTTCGAGTTCTTGGTTCAGTTGGAAATTTGACAGGAGTATTTGTGTAGAGATGATGATGAGTCGACGTCTGTAAGTGTGTCAGGTTTCGGTTTTAGTGTTTCCTTGCAATTATGAGTCAATGTTTTATTTCAGATACTGGCTTTTGTCCGTTTTACGTTTCCTTACAGATGTGTTTATAAAAGTACGGTTGTCGGGGCGGGGAATGGTGAATCATTGTCCGTGTGCAAGAGTTGTTATTTCACTTGTTATACAATAGTGATTTTTAGCGGTTTCTAGTGTTTATTTAAGCGTAGAGGGAGGGCCTATTGTTGGATTGGGCACCAGCGTGGGTCCGGTGATGTTTTGCAAATGTGTAATTTCTCATTGTTTTGCACTATGCGTTGTTTGCAGGAGCGATGGTGGGGGAGTTTGTTGTTGTTGTTTGTTTTTGTTGTTTTGTTTTTTTATATATCAAAAGGTGGTGGTGGTGGGTCGGCGTTTGCAGAATCGTTGATAGCGTATGTTCCGCTCCTTCAATATTTTCGTTGTAGTTGTTTATGTTTCCTTAATTTGGTTTGACAATGGTATGCATGTTTACGAGGGAAGAGTGTTAATGATGGGTCGATGTTTTGCAAGGAGGTTTATTGTAGGAATTTTTTTTTTTTTTTAGGAGTCGGCGTTGGGGTGAGGGGGTATTGAATTAATATTCACATGTATGTTGTTGTATCAATGCTTATTTATTATCGTACTGTTTGTATCCGTAAGATGACGTTTTTACATTTAACGGAGCAGCTTATTACTTGTCTGTATGTAATATGATCCTTATTCCTTTTTCGGTTCGTATTTTGGGTTTTTGAACTCTTACTGGGATGTATATAGGGGTTCTGTGTTGATAATAAGGTTGAATTTAGAGCTACGTTCACGTATTCGTACCTGAGCGTTGTTTATCCATGTTTATTATATTCTCGTGATAATAAACGAATTAATTAGAATGCCTTCTACAGGGTATTTTGTTTTATTGTTTCCTTATGACTGTTCCTTTTCCCTACTTTGCTGGAGTTTAGATTGGGTGGACGCGTTCAAAGTTCGGCGGGGTAACTCTGAGGGCAGCACCTATGAGCTCGAGCAGTCAGACCGTCAGAAGGAGGAGAGAGCAGGGGGAGAGGAAGGGGGAGACTATGTCCTGTGTCCATGCAGCGTTTTCCGAGTCAGTTGAATTTTTGAAGTATTTTATTCCTATGTGGCTGGTCCTCGCTGTTTTGGTGCATTCCCATGTCAAGCTGAGTATTCCGGGTATTGGTGTCAGTCCGTCTCGGATGCCAGGTCCGGGAGATCGTT